CTGCCCGGTCTGTCTGTAACGTTGCATCAGATTAGTCCCACAACACGGGATCAACCAAAAGTTCCAGCAATGTGGGTATGGATGGCTTGTAGCTTTTAGTATCACTAGATACTGGCTATGCCGATTATTTTTATATGCAAATAAGGATTACGGCAGGGCTTCCAAATGTCACTTTTTTTCTTTTTTCTTAATGATATTGTAAAACTTTTTAACACAAATGAATTACAATGGTTCTCTTGGAAATGTTTATATTGCTGTTAGCTGACGATATTGTCATGGTTTTCATTGGTTCATATGTGTGTTAATATATGTGTGACCTTCCATAGGAGTTCACGTGCATATGTAATAAGCTAAATATATGTCTGTGGTTTTCATTGGTTAATGTGAGTGACCTATCATCAGAGGTCACTTGCATGTGTAATCAGCCGAATAGTACGCTACATAATCTCACATATGAGAGCTGAACATGTTGGATTAAGTTTTTGTTCTATACTTTGGGTGTTTTTTCCAAGTTACCACCTTGTTATTCTTACCAGATATCCACACCTTTCTTGGATTCTAAAGTAATGCATTTATTAATAACAGTTACGTATACAGCCTTCACCTTCACCTTCACGGCGGGATAACTAGTTGCGGTTATCGTTCGCGTAGTATCGCTGGAAGCACATGCGTCTCTCTGGCTCAGCTGCAAATCAAATTTCTAGCGTAGCCCCAAGACACTTTGCGTCTAAAGAGTTGGATTCGTTTTGTTGGATGTTGTTGCATGCTGTTCCTGTTTGTTACTGTAACTTATTTTGCATACTATTATTCTTTTCAGCAACTGTTTTCTGCGTTTTCTCTCTCGTTTCAGGTCAGGACACGTTACATCTACAACGCAGTAATGGCGGTAAGAATTGTACCAGTATTAACTATATGCAGTGTTAAAGTACAGTTATATGGTTTACTGATATCCTATTCGCATTTCCTTGCAAAGGTTTATGTATTTAACTATGTTCAGACTCATAAGTAATATTATTTCATGTTCATTGCGTTACTAGGCAGGCGCGCGTGACAGGTGGCGCCCAAAATTCATGGCGGCTACAAAACGTTTAGAATCTACCATTATTAAAGGACTACATATTTCAGATGTTATTCCAATTTATATGAGCTGTGGGTTCTGGTGGAAACACAATTTGCAAACATTTGGTGCGTTTTTTGTCATATCAGGCAAAAATGGGGTTTATCATGAATACCCAGTGTAATTAACTAACAGTCGGGAAATGGTGATCATGACTTGTTATAAAGTCTATCAGCCTCTCTGCTATCAACAAACATTTACAAAACAATCACTTTCACCAGCACTTTGAGAATACCAGGGTCACGTGATTGTATTTTGGAGCATTTTAAGTTGTTTTGGACTTCAGAGCTTGAATAAATTTTCTGCCTCCGATGCATACTGCTGAAATGTAAACGAAATACGATATATATATATATATATATATATATATATATAATTATTTAACAACCACAGTATATTTCAAATGCCACTTCTACATCTAGAAAGCTAGCTGGTTACAGGCTGAAGTTGCTCTGCCGTAATCTTTTCATTTTGTCTGTTGAGACAGAGCCCGGCTTGCATACCGTCTATGTAGACTCGTTGACCAATGAAAATCAAAGACATGTTCCTTTGCCGTTAGCTAGTAGTAGCAGTAAATGTTAGTCTCCAGAGACGAAGTGACCGTCTTTGTACCTACTAGTCACAGCTCACAGTTGCTAACAAATCTGTGCTAGTAGTAGGTAATATTTCCTGGATCGGGTGACGCTGATCACTGTGTCGGATTAACGAGACTTTAAATGAGTGATTTCAGTAATTCGTTGCAAATTAGGTGTGTCGGAGTCGGAGTGCGAGACTGTCGGATTAAGGGGCTAAATAGCATTGATTTAATCGGTTCCTATCATTAGTGTCGGATAAAGCCGTTTGTCGGATTAACGAGTGTCGGATTAATGAGATTTGACTGTACTTAACAAGAGCCAAGAATATCACTTTTTTGTATTTGTAAGACAAAAAAAAAAAGAACTCTAAACATAACATCACACTATTGCAAGATGTCGGAGATAAGTGATTGTGAGCATTTCCGAGAAGGATCCAGGCCAAGCTCAGGGAGGATAACTGGATCAATTTTATCTACTCTGACACGCAATGTCAGTACACACAATGCAGAAGCATATTGCTACGGATTTATGATTCTGTTTCTTGATGTGTATGTCTTTCCATGTCTTGCTATATCAAATATGCAGATATTTAGAAGTCTGCTTCAAAATACCAGGGCCCGACTGTACTTTCAGTATCATTCAGTATTATAAATATTTCTCTTAAGGTCGTTCTGACGTGACCCGTAATGGGATGTCCTCAGATCTTTGTTGAGCGATAGCGAGAACTAAGATCTGATTTTAATGAGATTACAGATCTTTTAAATATGTTCACACAAACAAAAGCATAAAATTATTAAGGTATTATTATTAAATTATTATTATTATTATGAACTTCATACCTTGTAGCATGCAATGACATCGGTCCATATAATGAAGTATGCAGATGATTAAGCTGAAGATTGGAATTCTGAAGAAACTGCCTTAAACATACAAAACACCAATTAATACCACTTTGTTATTGATATGTGAAACAGTTTTGTTGATAGTGATATTGAGTAAGTAATACAAGTGATGGTCATGATTGTATAATGCACCTGTTTTGAATATAACTTGCATGAATAAATTCAACATGATGTCGACAAATTATGAAAGATGATTATGAAGGCAAGTTTTATCATTAGCAAAAATATGGTACATATTCTTGAAACACCAAATACATAATTAGGAAATAAAATTAGGACAATGATGTTTCAAATGAGACGCAACAAGCATACTCAACGAGCTATCAACATGCAGAATGTGCAAACATATTTTGAATGAAATATGCCTTACTGGTCCTTCACTTTTCACATCATTTGCACTGAATCAATTTATTGTCTTTATACGCGACTTGATTAAAGTTGAAACACGTTTTCCAGTATGTTAATATATATACATAAAATATGTTAGTGTTCGGCTACAAATTCCTTGGCGATTTATGAGATCGGACGGGCAAAATAAGCTAAATTAGTAAATGCCGCGTGTGGACGGCAACACGTGGGCGACAGTAAACCTGTAGACATGGTGAGATGACATTAACATTGAGATTGGGGATACTATTCTGCGATATAATAAATCAAAACTAAAAACAGTTAGGCTACAATAAGAAGAACATTATTGTGCATAGCCGAACAAATGTATAAAACGCCTTACGCTTTGACTGACGGAGCGCTGATCCTGGATGAGAAAGGAGAGGTGAAGGTCATGCCCAAGCGGCCCGGATTTGTTGCGAATAATGTTTTTTTCTAAGTGGCAACTCTTGAAAGCATATGAAACAGTTCATTCCTACTTAACAAAATTTAGTTGTAAATGAATACATGTTGTTGTTTTTTATGTAGTATTTCTAAACTGAAGCGATGGAATTACACGTCGATGTTAATACGGTTACAGGCTGCATAGGCTCTGCGATTATGTGCAAGGCGTAGAGACGAAGCACAGCCTATAACAGACAACAACCCAAACGACGTATGTAATTAGGTACACTGTGAGTGGTGCTCTATTTGTCTGCCATGTTCACCCTCCAATGTGCTGGAAAGACTGAGGATGATGGGATGTTAGCTGCCTTTGCCCATTTCCCAGTTGATAAAGTCAAGAGTTTCTTGGTCCGCTTTCGAACTCAGCCGCCATTTTGGTTTGATAACGAAGCGACCTCACTCAGCGATTGGTATGATTGCAAGCGGCTGAAAGTTAGCGTCCTGTTAGGCGAATTGCTGTACATCGCTTGCAAGCGATTGGCGCTTTGCAACGCCCCCTTATCCGTGATTGGAAAATCAGTTCTATTGTTATATGGCGTCATGCTTGGGATGACGTCACTACACATTGCCTGTGATGACGCCATGTAAGTTACTTACCGACAGACACAGCGATCAGTCGAAAACGATGGAGCCGGATACCATAGAAAATGAAGGTTTTCTTATGGGGGATTCATATCGGCAGAGGAAGAAACGGTACACATGCATTAAACCGGAAACCTACCTTCCATATTGGTTTAGATCACGCGATATTCATATCCTATGATAATCACGCGCAAAAAAAGGAGAAAACGAAAACGGAGAAAACTAGGTAAAAATTAACATCAAATTTTAGCTCTATGCACGACTTCTGGTCATTAAACTAGACTGTGTTTCTTTAATTCTGTTAAAATGGAATAAAAACGAAAAATGTAATGACTTTGTATGTTTTTCTTACTGTGGAATTGTGGCATGCTGAACATCGGACCGTCAGAAAATTCTGAAGGTAAGTGGTTCCTGATTGGTCAATTCAGTTCAGACGTCAGTGCATAGTAACTGCCTTATTTGGTAAAGCTACTACTCAGAGTTTACGATGAGCGTCTCTTTTACACGAAGCTGTTTGAACTATACGAAATAACGAGAGAAAAAGGAGACTTTTTGTGGTATTTGCGTGTAAAATTGGGACGGAAAAATTTGTGCCAAGTGCCGGATAGGGTGTCGTGCCTGGTTAGCGAAAATCCAATTTTCCCTAGTATCAGTAAAGCGAAAACCCAAGTTGGGGTATTTGTCCTACAAAAGCGAGAAATGAGTAATTGCTATAAAAACACCGTATAACCGTAGTTTAGACTAGCGCCCGTGCTGTTCAAACAGGAGAGGAGAGTAGAGGAGATTTACTAGAGAGTCGTTGCGTAATAATACAGTTGGATGTTTAACACAGGAGAAGAGATGATCAGTTTCTTAATTGAACAAACAATTAGTTTCTCAGTTGATATGGGTTATGATACCGATGAGTTTAGAGGAGAGTCGTTTCTTAAGAATACATACAGTATGTATTTGATGGTATATATAAAGTGTGCCACTGATTTATCTATGGTCAAAATGGCTAACGCACAAGTTCGAGTGCCCATGGTTGATACCGTGCGAGGTGGTCAGCACTTATTTTATGAGGGATTCAAGTTTCGTTGTAAGAAAAAGGTCCGTGAGAAGAAGTATTGGAACTGCGTTGTTGCTGCCTGCAGAGCGTCGGTGATCACTGAAAACGGCATTCTTCAAGCGGCTTTGCAGGTAAGAAAATAATGCACATGATCATGATGATAATAATCTTAAAGACATAGACTCAAATGACTTTGCTTAACAAACTATTCAGTTATTTATTTTACTTATTTATACTTATTTATTTTACTCTCTGCTCCCGAACAAGTCCGAAGATACGTACACCAGGACATTTGAACATTTACGTCTAATGGCTCAACAGCAGAATTGTTACTTCAATCCAAGAACTTTCCAGTTAGACTTTGAAATCGCTGCCCACAATGTTGTACGGAGTGCCTTTCCCAACACTTTGATCAGGGGCTGTTATTTTCACTTCACCCAGTGCATTTGGCGTCGAGTACAGAAGGAAGGTCTGGCTACGGACGACAAGAACGATGATGAAGTGCGACGACTGGTGAGAAGAGCCGCAGCCTTGCCTCTGCTTCCCTTGGACAAGGTCGACGACGTCTGGCTCCAAGCCATCGCTGACAGTCCCGCGGGTCGCAGGGTCGCAGCCTTCATGGACTACGTCACGACAACGTGGGTGGAATATTAAAGTATTAGAGTTATTAAATTTGTTAAATGTCAAGTACTTTTGTGCAACTATACTATAATTCAGCATCTAATAAATTACTACTGTAATTACGGTATACGCATTTCTGTGTTTTTCTTGTAATTTGAGAGTCCCGGTATAGCAATATCCCGTGTTTACTGTAGCGTGACCTGTCGTACTGTAGCTTCACGAAAGCGAAGATATTTTAGAGTTGATTATGGCTAGGTTTCGCTCTTCCGGCCCAGAACCCCGAAGCCATGGGACGAGAATCGTAGGAAGAATTAAGGAATTTAAAATAGATATATTGCAATGATTTGATATTTTCAACAGAAATTGTCAAAGTTACCGTCCTGTATGACGCCATGACTGACGCAAAATCACGCACAACGACAACGGTATTTATCGGAATTTCTGCCTATTTCTGTGTGTTTCAATGAAAATTATAACAACAAATAACAGTACATAGGTTGTCATTTTGTAAAAGTCGGTCACAGTTAGTGATGTCATACGTCAACATTGTTGTACATATTTGGTAATTTCTTTGAGGTGAAGGTCCTTGAATGAGAGTGCACACGATCATTGTATCATGCTGTTTACAGTTTCAGTTATGATGTAGATTTTGCATATCTTTTATACATTTTTTCACACAATTATTTCACTTTGGATCTTTTTTAGTGTTCAAAATGATATCATACATAAATATAGGCCACGACATGTATGAACGAATCTTTGATCATCTCCTGTTTGTTTGAGCATTGTTTACATAACAATTGATAGCTAGGTTTATAGTGCCAAATACGATATTTCTTTTCTTTGGACAAGTGTTACAAGATGAAGTATAAATGTAACTGCAGCATTTACGTATTTCTGGGGATGTGTAATAGTCAATATTATAAGTTCATATCACCAATGTCCATGAATAGCCGTTTCATTTTATTTTATAACTAAAACTGAATATATTACTTTAACAAAATGGATAATATTTTTCGGTAAAATATATGCACACATTTCTGAAAGAATTGTCTTGGTCTTGGAATTGTTTTTTTTATGTCGTTTGAACAGTGATATCTAACGATTCGCCAGGTGCGTGCGTTAGTCACAAACATTTTACGAATTATCCCTCTCGTTTTGCATTATATAATCAAAAGGTTCATTCTTTTTTCAATGTTGTGATCACAGGATAGGAAACATCTAATGGTAATATTATTTGAACACATGTGTTGTGAAAGATGCTTCTGAAGAGCAAGTTATGCATCCATACGCTCCTATGTCAACTCTCTTTTTGAGGATCTATTTTATTCCGCGATATAGCTGGTTGTTGTATGGCTGTCAGTGTAAACATTGAAGTCACACGTACTAAATAAAATTGTGTTAAGATCTTGGCCTACATATCCTTTGAGGTGTGAAATTGTGATGAAAAAATTATAAGAATTGACTTTGACTTTGTGTGAGTTCATTGGAGTATGAACCTTCATAGAGTGGGGGCCAAACTGTATGAACGTCGGAGCTTGCGACTCACACAAAGTGAAGGTCAATTCTTAAATAGATTCTCGCAAACTCTTAGAAGTGTCTTTTTATAAAACAGGTTTAATATTTGCAGTTAAATTTACACCATCTGACAGGAAATTTAATATTCCCCACCTCTGCGTAATTGTATAGCCAGAGGTAGATCTAGTGCCCCGTGAGCTCAATCCTACATTAGGAATAAACATTTAGCGAGCCTTGGCGAGCTGAATACATAGTGTTTATTCCTAATATAGGATAATTACCATCTTCGAACACACAAGCGTGATAACCTCTTTATCACATAATATCATTCATTAATTCTGTGCTTCAAAATCGCTTTCCCTCTCTCACAAACATTACCGAAACATTGCAATTTTTTCCTGGAATGTGCGCATTAATATTTATTACGTCACAGGGTGATGTGTCAGTCGGACAGTGACAGTAGCCAATATAGTTCCATGCAACTGAAATCTGTTTCTTATAGAGTGTTGAAGCAACATATATACGCAAAACAACAATTGTTTTTAATTGCATTTCGCGGCAATCCATCGGTCTGTCCGCAAGAGTAACAGCCCTTTGTCAAAGGGAAGCTACTCTAACCCTAGTCTATCTTCGAGACATCACGGCCACGTTCAGACGTTGCTGACAGTCGGTCTGTCCTGTCATAACTTTTAGAACTGTAGTCAGATGTAAACACAGCGACAAAACGAAAGGTAACAATTCAAACATATTTCTACCAAATCCAAATATTTTAATTTGTGGAAAAGGTTTTAAGCCGCAGAGGTCTACAAGCACAGTTATGGCTACGGATCCTGCTTGGCTAGGCCTAGTGCCCTAGCAAAATTGTTTCGGAATTTATATGTCCAAAGTTGCCAAAACTTATAAAATGCCTTAGCTACTTCACAGTTAGACCCTGATTTTCAGTATATTAGACTGTTCTTTTGATAATGATAGCAATTATCCCTGTAGTTTATCCAGAATCCCGATGGTTAATTCTGACTCGATTGCCGAATGACGAGGGCGACGCCATGTTTGTTTTTAAACAGCGAAAGTAGTCCCTACTTGACCTTTGATATTTGCATCTCTATTCGCATATGACCCCCAACGGATTTCGTTTTTATCCGTTGGCTTTATCCTGCCGAGAAACCTACCCATTATATGATAAAGAAACATATCAGACCAGGCACTACAATCCTTAGCGATTGTTGGAGAGCGTATACTTGTTTGAAAGACGAAGATTTTGAACATTTGACAGTAATTCACTCTCTCAATTTCAAAGACCCATTTACGGGCGCCCACAACAATACCATAGAATCGTCGTGGGGGAACTGAAGAGATCATTACCCAAAACGGGAACAACCACTGACATATATTGTTCATATTTTGAGGAATTTTGTGTGCGCCGAAAATATTTAGACCAAAGACAGGATAAATTTGAAGGTTTTCTTGAACTTATTCAGCTAAAGACGATGACATCATCATTCGCTAAAGGCCTCTAGCCGTTGTTCAAGACAACATGAACGACAGTTTAGACGATTTTCAACTATAAAAGGTAAGTAATTTTAAATAAGGTAAACTTACCCTAAACTTACCCTAACCCTAACCCTAAAGAAGATAATAAACCGGGGATCCAAGGGCTAAAGAAGTCAGTATAAAGAGGTAAGGATACTTGTAGCGGCAGTAAAATGGCTGCGATAATTCAGGCGCCTTGGCTGCTGAGGGAGTAGTTCGCGCACATTTTGTGAGCACAATAAAAGATGGCGTAAGTATCCGGTGTAATGCATTCTTCCCGAAGAAACCAGTATCGAAAGACTCTTAAAGCCGAATCTTTTTACAATAATTTTAAAAAATCCAAGAAGTTCCTCGTGTCAAGGCTCTGCATCCCGAAGTGGGGAAGCCTGAAAATATTCAGGATTTTGTCAAAACCGGCAAATCTGATGAAACTTCGGGGAACGTTTATAACAAAAAGTACCGATATGCAATCCCTGCACCGACGATACGGTTCCAAAGATGAAATGATAAAAATAATCCAGAGAATGCGCCAATATCTGCCCCACATGTAGAATCTGACATAGATCTGAGAATCCGCCAATATCCGCCCTATTTGTGGAATCTAACATAGATTTGAGAATCCGCCACGGCCGCGGATCAGTGTTTTTTTCCATGGATCTGAGACCCAGGGAATGAATAAACAACGGATTTTAGAAGGCCATGCGAAAGATCTCATCGTAAGGAAACAACCTCGAATGTCTTTCTTGTATTACGCTCTGCATAGTATAAAAATAAAATTAACTGCTGCTTGTATCTAGTCTATCATCTGTGTATCATTGGCGTGTTTTTCCTGTCGTAGTTGTGATAGGACATTTCCGTTGGAAACCCTGGTATCTAAGAACCTGTAAAGACGCAAAACGTCCATGGTTTAGTCAACTTCGCCCTCCCGAATACCATGCAATCTGTCAACACCGCACCTCGTAAAGTCATGTTTCACTCACCGATGGCATGACACGATAGCATTGATGGATATGACACTTGTCGATGTGACTATCTGTCGGTACTTACATTAGTGGTAATAGTCGGTTCCCTTTGCTTTGCTCTCCCAGTTCTATTAGTTGTACAACACCCAGGCGCCCCACCTGCAATACCCTCTCACCGAGGTGTAGGCAAAACTTTAAGCGACAATGTCACTGGTAGCACGTGGATACAGAACTATATTAGCCTGTCGACTTCAAAGCGAGTGACGACAATATGTGTGAAGGAAGATTCACCAATTGTCGACTGTTGACAATTTCTCAATAAGTGCGCTAAAATTAAAGGTAGAGCCACGTCACAGCTGGAATGGAATTAACTCTGCAGTCTCTCATATCAATAAACTTATTAAAATCGCTCGGGATCTGTAACCAACGACCCCCTCTCGGGTGATGGTTCATTCCACACGTACTTATTAAATGAATAAAATAAAAATAATTTCCAAGCTTTCGTGTCACGGCTGACGTGTTGTATTTATCCATGTAAGAGATTGATAATTTGTGGCTACCAAACCACATAAAGTTAACTCGTCGTGACAATGAGCAGATGTCACGTCAACACGGGAACCTGTTCACAGTGAACAAGTTTTATCGTATTGACATTTTCGCTTCGGTTTTATGTCTCACCTAAAAAAAATCGTGTTTAACCAATACCAGCAACAATTTTCACGCAAAGAAGGGAGGAATAACGTTGTTTCAAGAAATATTTGTCTATTCTATTGACACCATAGATTAATTATCGTTGAAAGTATTCCGTCTGACAAATAATTAATCTGCAATACTGATAGGGTACCCTGACCAATTTGGCTGCAGTGTAAACTCTGGACCTGCATCGTTCATGACCTAACTTATATGATTGGAAGTTCCATTCACATGTCAATAATTAAATTTTCGTTGTGTTCATTGAAATTGCTGCATTCTGATTAACTGAACTGGTCACGTGTTATTGCATTCATTTCCCCACTCTCCTACCCAGAGCTCCATGCGGCCGGCAGCTAGCCAGCATAGTACCTCTGCCACAGACCAGCGCCATGTGACGATTCGTCACATCTTTCACAGTCCATTCAAGATATTGCATATGCTTTTCATCCGTTTCATGTTTGACAAAGCTACACATTTTCATAAAAAAATGTCAAAGAATGGTTACGGTTCAATAAGAAAGTATCCTAATACGTGAAAATCTACTTGTTTTTGCGTAGTTATCCTTTGTTTACATTGGTTGTACGGCTCCACGTGCTGGCATCGGAGCCCAACAGAGAGCTAGCGAAACGGTCACTTTGATGTATCAATATATATTGACATGCAACTCACTGTCGCAGTTGTAGTAGCATATCTATATATTTATGCAAAACAATATGTAAAGCGCCCCCAAATACTTGCATTAGTCCGATCTATACTGATTTCTGAAAAAGCGCGTTTGTTTACAAACAAGAGAAAAGTCAGATCACGTGTTATGCAAATTAGCCTGTGGCAGTGGTGCTATGCTGAGTCACCACTTGCGTGTATCGTCATGCACAGGACATTTAGCAACATCCATGCACATTCTTTGTCCAAACTACCCTTTGAAACCGAAGGCCGGAATGAATGAAGGAATGAAACAGCAAACGTGCACGCTCGCGCGCCTGTTTTTTTTCATATCTTCGGGTTTCATTTCTAACTAACATTTTTCAAACTGTGTTTTCCCATTATCAGGGAACTAATGTTCGAATCTGACGGTAACTGACCATGTCATTTGAAACAGCCGCCTTCTCCGGACATATTTCTTCCGGTTCATTATGTACAGCCAGACTGTTGCAGTTCTTCTTGCGTCTTGTCTCCGTTGATTGGCTACTGACTGTGTAGGCGTGTCAAGCTATGCGCATAAATTAAACGATCGCCTGATTCATGTCACGCCACAGTATGTATTCATACACCTAGAATGGAATCAATCTCGTAATTTTTGTCTGTTTTGATATATTCAATTGTTTTTGGTTAAACTATCGTAGATAAAACATGTTTTACGTTGTCGAATTTAATTATAAGCATTGACGATTGGCATAAATTAAACGATCGCCTGATTCATGTCACGCCACAGTATGTATTCATACACCTAGAATGGAATCAATCTCGTAATTTGTGTCTGTTTTGATATATTCCATTGTTTTTGGTTAAACTATCGTAGATAAAACATGTTTTACGTTGTCGAATTTAATTATAATTTTTTGTCTGTTCATTGAGGTATGAATCGAAAAACCGATGTGCAAACTTTTGTGCAAAAATGGAGGAGATAATATATTAAGAAAAAAATAACGATAGTCCGAGACATTCTCATGTCTGAAGATAATATTCTATTGAAAATAGTGTCAGAAGAAGGGACCAACTTCTACACATGGAAATATGTCAACACATCTAAACACTCATTGCACAATCGTCTCAGGGGTTTCAAGACAGAGACCAGACCGAGGTTCCAGGACGACGTGAAATCAACCAAGCGGGTGATTGTGAGAATCTACGTTCATAGAAGATTTCAGTGGATGAAGTTGAAACTGCCCATGTGATACAATATATTGAATCCTTACTGACATTGTGTTTCAATTTGGAGTTAAGCAAGATCATTGGACGTCTCAGTGTTGAATTCTGCTGTGGTTGCTTGATTAAGAAGGAGAACAAGTCTACTCTTGTCGTGACGTGTATAAGACAAGTCAATCAATACTTTAACATGGCTCTGTCTGAGGGCAATGATGACCACGTGACTGTTTGTCAATATCAATGTACCGATTATCGCAATGTACAGTTTAGGACAGCTCTATTAATCGACCAGTTTAAGAAATGTGTTGTAAAAAAGTGTACAAATAAATAAAATACATTGCCTGCCGTGCCCACGGGGAGACATGAAGGAAATAGAACGTATGATTTCTTCATCACTTCAGCATCCATTCTGTCAGCAGTATCTATATATCGGCAGGGTCAAACTGAAGTACACCTTTGACATTTTAATCAAACTATAGAGACTATATGACAGAACCAGTAGCACAGCGGATTTAAGCGAAACAGGTGTGGATGTTCGCCAATGGTCGTTAGATATAGGCTGGCGGATACACCGAGGTAGGAGCATGGATATCCCACAAACACATTGAATGTACATGCCGACAAGAGGCAATAAATCAAGATAACACATCCATAAACGAGAATAAATGGGTAAGGGTAACTTGGCAACATGAGGTACGGTGAATTATCAAATGAAGAATAGAGGTGTTCGGTCAGTACACCTACAGATAATACAAAAGAAAACATGAAAAAGAGATGAGAACCATATATTTCTAAATGTTCGTAACATTAAATGCAAATTAACACGTGTCGGCATTAAACGTTTTTAATTTGGTTTTATGTAATAAAGACTTCTCTGTTCGTCGTGTTGCTCATGCTATGGGCTTACGCACTGAAGCGTGTCCAATCTGCAGATGAAGCAGGTGGGGTCGCGGTTCACGGGAATGGGGCAATTTCCTTGTGTAAACTACGGTTTGGGCAGTTCCGTAAATTACACACGACATATACAAAGTTGCAGAACAGTATTGTGTGTTGCCTTGGGAACCACAAAAGTAAAAAAAAACGTTAAAAAATCCTGGTCAGCAAAGGCATTTTCAGAACTTCAATGATACTTTGAACAGTTTATGAGTTACGCTATGGCAGAGAACCCTACTCCAAGTTTAACTCACCGTAAATCTTAGTAAAAATGCCAGATCAAAACGACGCAACCAAGAGGCTCGAGGAGAGGCATTTGAAACAATATTATAAAAAACACGTGATACAAAACTTTGCCGCGAATAAACGCCGGGTTAAAGTACCTTATTCGGACATTATAGTAAGTCCCGTATTCAGCCCCCACTCCCACCCCACCTCTAAAAACGCGTACAATGTTACAATGAGCTGAGGAACTCCGTAAAAGAGAGAACGTATACGTACTGCACATATAATTTATTACGTACATCCCACGGTGGTATGACCATTTTACATTGCCCGAAATGCGATTTTATAAATTAATTTTGCACTTTAAAAATACTCACCAAGGCATAACCTGAATATGTCGCGCAACTGAAGTAACCGAAGAGGTGCGCGTGATGACGTGGGGATTCCGGATTAGAATTAGCCACCTGCAACGTATGCTTGGTGTAAGAGTCTTCAGCAACCCATGCTTGTCGGAAGATGCGACTAACGAGACCGGGTGGTTGGTTGATGCATGTAATCGTATCGCAATTGCATGGATCTATGCTCATGACGTCACTGGATTGTCTGGTCCAGACTCGATTGTGTACAAACCGCCGTCGTACACCTGGAATATTGCTGAGTGCGGCGTTACACAACAAACAAACAAAACATTGATTGATTATTATTTACTGGAAATACAATAACAACTACACTGGAACACTAGACTGGCTGTGTCCTGTGTTAGCTTAGGATTTCCGAATGATGACTTTAGTTTCCAGGACAACAATTCCTTATGTCACAAATCTTACAGAGTGGGTGGAATGGAAGTACCACCAAGAATTAAAAGCCTTGAATTGGTATCGATACATTAATAGCACAGTAAATGTTCAAGCTGTTGAACCAGGGATGCAACTTAACCTGAAACATTCACAAGCGCGCATAGTGTTAACCCATCAAGGCAGTTTTAGGACACAACCTGCAGTTCTCCTAGCACTTATGATATCTTTAAAATTAGATACACTGACTCAGTGTAATATCAAGGTGTATCTGTGAAAACAGTATAACTACAATTACATGTAGAATCCAGTGTCCCTCATCATGGAGGTACAAGACATTTTGTCTTCCCTGGCACCAGTTAATATCCGAAGCTTGCACCAGTCTTAGACACGTAATTGTACACAAAAGGACACATAACAAAGCACTTGAACAATTTGGTACGTTTCTATGACCCACTACAAAGTTAGCCAAATATGATGATACACTTTACTCTACAGTCTTTCGGCTATAAAATCTGGTTTAAAAAATAAAAACTGCTCATCAACAAGAGAGAGCAATTGGTATGGTGCAGTTGGGGGGGAAGGTACGCGCGGAGCGCAAGAATCACGATCACCAAGTTGATGAAGAACTGCAGACAGGCCATGAAGGCCGCACCTTGTACCCACGTAACAAATTCCTCCCTGTGACGTCACCTGCACTGACTGAACATGGACGTGTGATCAGTCGTCACACCATACTTGACCGACTTCGAGAGCCTGGTTTCAGAGCCTATCGACCAATCAGAAGAATTTCGTTGACGAGGCAATATCGGCTTTGGCGTTAACGGTGGGTACGCCGAGTTCACCGTTGGAATGTCGTAACTGGCAATGTGTGCTATTTTCCGATGCGAACATATCTCAGCTGCTCTGGGCCGACGGGAGAACTGGGATCTACCGACGTGTGGGAGAAGGAACGGCTCCTTATTGTATTCAGGAGACAATGGGATATTTTCGGGTGGGATATGTGGCCGACAGAGGACACATCTGGTGGTCATTAATGGAAATCTTTATCCCCAGTGTTACATTGACCTCATGTTACGTGTATCCCGTCGTGGAACCGTTTGCAACGCATCCCAAGGATCTGGGTTCAACAGTACACTGCAAGACCTCACACAACTCGTGTTGTACAACAGTTTCTGGCAACGATCAACGTTTCGCCATGGCCAGCCCCTATTACCAGACTTGCCTCTCATAGAACATTTTTATGATCATTAAATCTAATTAAAATCCGATCTTAGTTCTTGCTACCGTTGAACAAGATCTGAGGACTATGCCCAGAAACAACATGTGACCAATAATCAATCAGATCACCCCTCAAAATCAGAGTTTCACCAGCTTACGGTCTCAAGTACACCCCCATATTGTCATCGATGTAGCGCACATCTTTCACCTCTACTGATCCCACATCAAATCATGATTGAGCCCCCTCCATGTTCGGTTACGATTGAATCCTGAAAACTTTCTTCTTGTTTACGCGAAGTTTGGGCACGACATTCTTTGAAGTCTAGGCAGTCTGTCCAGTGGAGGTCTGCCCATTCCAACCTACCTGCTTGTGGTTTTGGGTCAGTGGGATCAAATGCATACCCTCCGTGCCCGGAGACCAGCCTCACAGAGACGATTAAGCACTGTCTATGTAGAAACGTTAACGCCAATTGCGTTTCGCCGGTAATTTCTGAGCGTGGTGGCAGCAAGTGTTATCTCGTCTTGCTGTAGTCATGATAAAACCTGTCTTCCCGCTGTGTGGTGAAACGCTGTCGACCACCTGCATGTCGCTGGGTAGCTGATCCAAACGTCTGGTATCGATTCCATGCCCAGCTGATCACACTTTGGCTGACACCAAAGACGTTTGCGACGTGACGTTGTGTTGAGACAGTCTCAAGCTTGCCTAGGCATCTGCCTAATTCTTCGGTCGTCAAACGACGTCTTTGACGCCGAGGGGTCAGAAGAGCATTCAGTTGTTGCAAACCTTAGTAGAAAATGTTTTGTGATATCTGACTATGATGCGCACAGATCTGTCACGATACATCCAAACACAGCTTTTCAAGCACCAGTGTGCAACCGTGCCCACGACTGCATGCCTCTGTCTGTTCATTATGAAACTGAGGTCCTGTACGGGTTACCCTACCAATGTGTCCCGGGATATTTAAATCTCTATTTGTTAGAGGATTTTTTATATCATCAAAATCTTGATCCTAAGCAAACTTCGAGTGGTAGCAGAAAAAGTAAATTTGCTTCATATAACATTGTGTAAATAATATCTGGTTTTGCATCTGTAGCGTCGGGCTGCAGTGTGGTGATCAGTGAAACGTAGGACACACGTAATCATCGAACACGCAGATGTGGTGCATAAAGATGAATTTCGAATGGTCTGCCGGAAAATAAACATAAACAATGTCCCTGTATAGATGGGAGTCATGAGGAGAGATTTTGGATGGGTGTCGTTCATCTTTGGCGTCATGATCGGCTTCCATCGTCAGCGTTCAGACTGTTACACATTAAATTTATTAACTACTCTGACTTGTACCGATATCCAGATTGCCTTTTTACCTTAGACAACCGTCTACCTATGGGTAAAATGCGTTGCTTGTTCACATATCACCATTCTTAGGCTTCATTATAATGATACATTGTACTTAGTTTCATTGTTACGCAACTCCACGAGATATTTTAATTCCATTTTTAAACAAGTTATTTCTGGATATTTAAACTTCCACTTGGAGTGAACCTGGGATAATATAAAATAACAGGATTGAGGTTGTCGATTGCCATCTGTAAACCATCAATAGTGCGCATCCTCCCTCTAATCTGGACTGACATGTCCATGTGTCTAGCCGTACTGACATTCGGAGTACAAGATCACCATAGACAGGGGTCTCGTTTTACTGCAGAAAAGTTGGTCGAGACTTGAAGTTTCTACGTCGCATGTTTCATAGACAACTTGTTGCTACAAACTGACTGGGAAACATGGGGCCACACAATAACAACTGCTACAAGCAACAGCTGAAGTGGAAGGAACAATATTAATATCAAGACTTATTAACTAATTAAAAGTCATCCACGTAGTGGGTCTTATAAATAATGTTAATAGAATATAGAATAAGCCTACCATCATATACATGTCTTCGTTGTAGTGCTGTTACTGTAATGTCGGTATCAAACGGGTAATTACAGACTGCATGTCACTCTTGTGATGAACAATCTCTAACTCTTTGTTTGAATACATTTACTTTAAAATTACAATCAGCAACTTCTCGCACATTTTGAGTAACCATGAGTCCAAAGGACTAATATGCATCTACAGTGTCGAGTAAAATAATCTTGGCTGTCCAATGTTCAGACCTATACACACGTCCTCGATCATTAAACACAATATTTGTAGATATTTTATGTATTAATATCCATTACCCATTTACCGAGGTACTCATGTTCAATGAAGATGCTGCCGTAGCTTTAAATCATAATCAGCTGCACGGATAAGGTCATCAGTATAATTATAACAAAGCAATAATGTTTAACATTTCCTCGGAAATGAAAATACATTAAGCAAAACAGCAAACCATATAACCAGGAAGTTGCATTGGTGGAAAACAATAACGGAGTATGGGTACATGTTGGCATTGCGTACACCACCAGAGCACCTGAAACAGTTTCATAACGTTCTACCTTTAGCAATAATAACTGCTGATTTAATATTGCCAAGCATACTTTTATAACATTGTATAATTTACCTTGAACACCATTCTGGAGCGAAATGAGCAACTTATTTATATTAACGGTATCAAAATCTATTCTAGAATCATTAAATGAACAATACACTTCCCCTTTACGTGTAATATATTTTTGTATCACAGCTAGAACAATGAAAATGTGATCAGTAGTGAGTAACCCTTCCTAAATCTTGCTTTTCCTGTTACATCGTAAGAATGTGGACACAAATCTTATCTAATATGCTTCTACGCAAAGATAAAATATCCATATATCTGTTCATGAAGCAGATTTCATCTGTACAAGTTAAACATGTTTTCATGTTTGACTGTGTTTTGGGATATAGATTTATTCATATATGCGTTCTGAATGTTAAATAACTGCTGATATGCTCTTTATATCTAATTCCAAATATTACTTAATTCGGTGGTGCTTACCGTTTGCTTAAGTGTTTATCTTACATTGATCTTCTTTGATAGGCATTTAGAAGTTGGAGTACAAAGTAAGGATGAGAATTTATGGATGAACAACTTCTTTATTACAATTAAGATAACGGTGTTAGAACCTGCACCGAAACGTCGCTCTTAATTGTAATAAAGAAGTTGTTCATCCATAAATTATTATCCTTACTTACATTGATCGCTGCTCCGCCCGTCATTGGATTGTCCGGCCCAGGCCGTGATCTAACTGGAATATTCCTGACTTGGGAGATAGTCATCATTGACTCTGTTTACATGGTCAACGTCATTAAAGTTCAAAATCTAACAGAATGCCGATAACACGTCTCAAACAGCGTTGCAATCTAGTCTTCCAGGAACTAACAGGAGTTGAAGCGACAATTTATGCAGCAATTGTCTATTAGAATTTGGCAAGATAAAGACATGACTACAGTATCAAGTGAATCTATGTAGAATGAAGTTGTGTCAGTGAAGGTGGATGTACTAAACATATTCCCATTTGGAAAACTTAACCTCACTTGCCTTGGGTTGGTTATGAGGAATGGGGTCGGGTGGGGTGGGGAGGGGTATCTGGGAAAACTGTAATGAGGGCCACAGCTTCAGCTGATTATTGTGCTGATATGTACTAATTACATCTGATAATATATTAACTGTATACTGCAAACTGTGACAACCCTATGACAAAGTTGCGTCTATAGTTGATGAATGAAGAACAAAAGTACAAAAGCAACATAAATGTGATTTATTGTATAAATACAGTCTTGCGCCGAAGCCAACCTCGATGCAGACCACATCCGTTCTATAGTCATACCAATTGCATTGGAATTCTCGATCCTTCTGCTGTTGTCTGGATCCAAAACGCAGCTGTTTCCGATCAATGGAGATGAAATCCATACACACATCTGAAGCTCACCACAGACAAACACTCTAAACAATCAACAAACAACAGTGCACTAGCAATAAAAGAGGAAGAAAAACGGACAATAACTTGAATTTGTGTTTTCCCTTAACAACAGTCGAAAACCTTCGGGAGGTGATGAGCAGGTTTGGCTGCATCTATAATGACGTCAGTGTGTCACATCTTTTGTGAAACATTGAACACGATGTGAGTTGGAGGAACAAAGACAAGCTGTCGTTTGCAAGCACTTGAAAAAAGACAACAGTGTCATCGCATTGACTCTAACTCATTATAAACAAAAATAGAAAACATATACTTGGCAAAAGCACATTTCCCGATCAAGGTCCTTGCTTTGTGGCGGCTGGTGTTTGAAGGTAAACACACAGAACAAAGTCCTGGTCGTATGAAACTACTGATAGGGACGACATATATTAAGTGAATACACGGACAATAGACGTATTTGCAAATATGAATAAATAATCAGCGATAGAATCCCGTCGATAAAATAAACAGTAATATATGCATCATATATACAGGTAATAAGATGTAAAATATCTTTTAATATTTTGTCACCACACCGAGATTTTATGTTCACATAGAACAAATTATTTCAACACCGGTCACGTGACGTTCCTTAAAACATCTCTATGGCAAAGGTGGCACAGTGGACAGTGTTCCATACACACACCGGGGACGTTCTAACCCCAACGCAGTAAAGAGGGTAACGATTGTGGCCTAGCTATCACGTGATACACCGGATCTCATTCAAATTTACATCATAATTATTCACCACTATTGAGTTCAATATTTTGATACGACAAAATCTCCATCTTTGCTCCAATAAGTAATGTTACAAACATGTTATGTTCACACTCGCAGTACCGGGAACTCACTTCTCCTTCGTGACAGTACTCTGTGCCCAGAACATGTGCTACACCTCGGCAAATACACCAGTATACCGAGGAGTTAATGAAGCGACTACGTTACTTGAAAGCTGAAAAAGGTCAAGTACTTGCTATCGGTATTGAAATACCCTGCCCACAAAAAGTACCAGTATTTGAAACAAATTCGACCATATTATACAAAGGTTGAATTTGAAACAAATAAAAAAGGTCCTGACTTGACATGTACATACTTCACAAAAAACGTGAGAGATCATGACAATTTTAGGGATGTTATTTGTGAAACTGTGCTCAATCTTTACTACAAAATCATATTCCCCAAATATTCATGATCCTAAACATGTTTTGTTCAGTAATAGATTAGTGCCTCATGCATAGATAATTGTTAGCAGATTGTTATTACTGGGAACGAAAGCGTGGAAATGTTAAGCAGAGAAGACGGACTACATAATCACAGGCAAGTTGGGAATGAATACGTGACATTCAACCTCTGACTAGCATATTAACAGCTATGAACCAAAGAATTTTTACAAACTCTATACACATGAGGTAGGTGTGTTGTATAGTCGGGTGGTAACCCAAATGACTACCACATCAACACTACAATGAATGAAAGAACATCACGGAAATAAATACATTTTCAATATGCAAATTTCTATAATAATTATAACAGCATAGGAAATGCGTCTATGAGAGGACGTAACAAAGTTGATCCCTCGTGTAGGCACAAGACAGATTCTCTTCTTAGTAAGTACTATAACCTGTAGAAGGCATTGACAATGAACCGGGATTGTATATTATGGCAATTATTTATGGTTAGCACCAAGGGAGCTAAGCACCGTGGGTTTACAGCAGTGTGTGTGGTTTATTTGTTAATTGAAGTCACACACGCAAATTTCACGCATATATATTGATCGCTGTTGCAGTCGTCGACTTAGGTTCACATTGGCAAAACAACTCTCCCACAATGGGCAGTGTCCTGTAAGCAACTGATTGTCTCGTTCACGTCCCTGTGTGTTTATACGTTCAGAGGCGCAACAGCTTCCACAAGAATATATAAACTGCCCTAGTCAACAATGTCTTTGGAAACAACGTGAAGGCAGTACCCTTGGCCCTCGGTGGAATGATATCAATAAATCCGTGCAAGTATCTGCAGAAGCGACTATTTTACCCGATGTATTATGCCTTGTAGCGCATTTGTGTCAGCACAAGTATACGGGGAAGCCAACATGGGATATGCGAGATCATTTTGAAGCATCCTTAAGTGTCATTTAGGAGCTCAGTGTCAATAAGACGGGTTACTGTAAGTACTATTCCTTATCGGCTGAAAGGCTTGTTTTCACTTTATAAGTATAAGTATTTCAAGTGGCGAGGACTATAGCATTCAGGGCGACTACACCTGATATGTAGGACTGTTTATCATAGTGTACAATATCGGCGGATGGGTGTTAAAGCAGGTTGACAGTGTCCTTACTCATACATTGGATGTTGAAATAGATGTCTTCTTCATCACAGTCACTTCATCAGCACTCCGGCGGGACTTGGTCCTCGATGCACTATTCTACTCCGAACTCCCTGGTTCGAATCCAATGTCCAAATTCACTAATACTGTAACATGACCCAGAGGCCGACAGAGTGGCATGCCTGTCAGGATTTGTCGGTATCATTTTCCCGGAACATTTCTAAGAACATCGGTGGTATATCCCCTTTAGATTCAAGACGCACGCACAGCACGCGCTCTGCGTGCCTAGTGCTGATAGTACGTAGATCAGTGACCTTCATCAGGACTTTGGCCCAGTGAACTGGTTGGTGCGGTCGATTTTCGGCAATGTAACGCTTGTATGCTCCCAAAATGGCATCTTGCAATTTTTCTACGGCTTCGGGTTCTTTCAATCCGGAACGATCTGAAATGAGAATAAATGATCAAAATATAGATAGGTGTTTCAACGTCACTACTTACCTATGAAATCGCTCATTGAAGAACACATTCTGTCAAATAATTTTTCATTGTTCCCTTAAACAGTTTTATTGAGAAATATATTCATGCTGTAAGGCATATTGTCAATCTATATTAAGACACATTTAAGCATATCATCAATATTAGATGAAGAATTCGTTTTCTCATTTGACCTGTGCAATAACATTAGCCTAAATTCTCCCCCCCCCCCCCCACCACCCGATCATAATGCCTACCTGATTGCATGAGCAACACTGCGGCAAGGAGCGCCACCTCCGTCTGGTCAAGTTCTAATTTAGCGAGCCCAAGAGCGAACTCAAATATAGGTTCCACCAGCACCCCAAGAGAGCCTTTGTGGAGGGCCGATTTGTGCACAGTCAAACCGTTGGGTAGAATGAGGGACTGAGATTGGGCATCGAACCTGCAGGCAGCCCTCAGGCACATGACTTCCATGCAGCACGACTTGAGAAGCAGAATTTGGTCCTCTACGTTTAACTGCAATCATAGAGAGTGAAAAATTACATCCCAGTATATTTGTGTCGACGTTTTAAAGCTTGTATGACTGTCTATAATGGATGGTTTTAGCTGTTCCTTGATAATGTTTTGTAGAAGATGGGTGTTGTAGTGCAGGTCTGCACGGTTGTGGCGGATTAGATATAAATATGTCGGAGCAGCAGTGATTGTGTTGCATATACGTCTCGGCATACCTCTACGAAACCTGGCACTCCTTTGGCGAACTCTACAACTTTGACGATAGACGGTGTCATCACTTCCGCCAACTGCTGCCACGCCTCCGCCTCAGAGTTCTGACTGGTATCGTACTCCGGCTGAAAAAGTTCATTTACGTAAGTGGTTGTTCATTGGGGCGTTAACGTCGCTTTGTACATTAGTTACGTTATGTTATGTCACAGCGTGTCAGCAGAATATGGGAGGAAAGCCCGAAGTGATGCAGGTCGTAGACATTTTCCACTTTGGTGAAACCTAGGAATATGGTTAACTTGCTGACGAATGATAAAAAAGCACAAATATCTTCGACACTGCGACCAAGGGATGCAACTGTGTTCAAAGACCACTGGACAAACGATACGCTATGCTATAGTGCTCGGCATACATTTGCAAGTAATGATACAGAAGTTAAATCAATTAGCACTTAATGTAATCAGGGCAGTCGGGCAGCCTAGTGGTTAAAGCGTTCGATCGTCACGCCGAAGACCCGGGCTCGAATATCGACATGGGTACAATGTGTGAAGCCCATTTCTGGTGTCCCCCGCCGTGATATTGCTGGAATATTACTAAAAGCGGCGTAAAACCATACGCACTCACTCATGTAATCAATCAGTTGTGTCAATATCTTTGAAACGGAATCGTTGACAACATGCTGATTTCCAGGTCAGAGATGAAGAATATGCCTTGCCTCGTGAACAACTCCGAGGTGATGATATAGCTCTGTATCAATAGTGTTGAATGTGGAACCATTAGAAATCTCTTTTACTGTCGTAAAGGTTGTAGTCACACGAAATGCTATTGTAAGCAGCTCTTGTTGCTCAGTCATCAGTGAGAAACGCGAGAGACACAGTTTGTCTGTACAGTGTACAGAGATACACATTAGTCTCCGTTATGCGGTAGTAGTAGTAGTAGTAGTAGTAGTAGTAGTAGGTGAGAGTAAATGTCAGGCGGCAATTACACCAGTGGTCGGATTGAATTCGATGGACTTTTGATTCTTATGTCCATTCTGACATATCTTTATGAATCTCCTTATATGCATACTTATTGTGACATGGATATGTTGGGCCAATATGTCTCATGTCTTATACTTTCACAAAATGTCAATATTATCCACGACAGTCATAATAACGTCCGTGGTGGGCAAACACAAGTTGATGAGTGAGTGAGTGAGTGGGTATGGTTTTACGCCGCTTTTAGCAATATTCCAGCAATATCACGGCGGGGGACACCAGAAATGGGCTTCACACATTGTACCCATGTCGGGAATCGAACCCGGGTCTTCGGCGTGACGGGCGAACGCTTTAACCACTTGGTTACCCGACCGCCCCTCACAAGTTGATGAGCTACACGTGATGTGATAATTGACTAACCATAGGAAAACGGACGTTTGGTGCCTTAATCCTTGTGGCTTCATATGCGGCACAAATGTCTGCTATGAGCGACCTATCCCTGTCAGACATATGTTCCGGGGCAGTGTCCGCAGTGTCCAGTCTCAGACCCTTCACGTGGTCCTGTTTCCTGCGTTCTCGATTCTCTTCGATCAGTTTCCGTTTAGCTTTTCGTTGTCGTTCGTTTAGAACCACTACAAACAAATGAACAGGGATGAAACATGTCAATATATAGTTGTTTACACAAAACATATTTTAAACATACAGAAGTATTTTGTTATTGATTTAGATGTTAGAATTTAGTCAGTGCGGCGCATTCATATATGTGTATGTTAACGATTCAGTTTGTACAAGCTACAACCCTCAAGTAATTCAAATTACATACATAACATTTAACTTTAAAAAGAAATAAATGGATTAAGTCGTGTTTGAATCCGCCATAAAGCCAGGGTTTACTTACAGTCAGTGGCCATGCCAACCCTCACACACTTCTGGAAGCGGCATTCTTGGCACTGGTTCCGTGTTGTTTTATCGATGACGCAATTCCCGTTCCATTTACAATGATATTTCAAATTCTTCTGAATAGTTCGTCGAAAAAAGCCCTGTCAAAATTTTAAAAAGTTAAATCATTATATTCACAGTTAAACTATGTGTCAGACTACATTCGTCTTTAAACCTTTTCTGTTTTGTCTTTGTTGTTTAACGCCGCACTCAGCAATATTCCAGCTATATGACGGCGGTCTGTAAATAATCGAGTCTGGACCATACAATCCAGAGATTGACATCATGAGCATCGATCAATGTAATTAGGATACGATGACATGCATCAACCAAGTCAGCGAACCTGACCACCCGATCCCGTTAGTCGCCTCTTACGACAAACAGTCATTTTTTACGACAAGCATGGGTTGCTGAAGACCTATTCTGCCCCGGATCTTTACGGGTCTTAAACCATTAAGTCAGAGAGTAAAAGAGTATGGTTTTACACCACTTTTTTTTTGCAATATTCCAGCAAATTTCGCGGGGACTCCAGAAATGGGCTTCTCACAATTCACCCTTGTGGGCGTTCAAGTGAGTGAGTGAGTTGGGTTGAACGCCGCTTTTAACAGTATTCCAGTTATATAACGGCGTGTCAGTTTAATGTGGGAGGAAGTGATGTAGGTCTTAGACGGTTACCACTTAGGCGAAACTCTCGTCGTAGAAGTAGTACGAGAGAACGTTTTCACCACGATGCTTCTCCCCCGCTCCTCACTAAATCAGATCTGAATGGGATACTAGTATTCCATATTCTTCATGAACATCGGGTAATATCCTCGACAAGTTGCCAAATAAACGAGTAATAACTGTTCTTCCATGTTGCAATCCTAACGTGTGTTACCTTGCACCCTTCACAGGTCATACATCGGTAGTGGTAGCCGGTAGCCGCGTCGGAACACACCACGCATGGCTCGGGTCCATTGGTCAGGTCCATGTAACTTGGAATGTATGGGACGCCTACAAGACAAACGTCATGTCTTAAACCAACAACTCCCCATAAATATATGGCAATACGTTATCGAAGCATTATATACGCTTTGTGAGCAATCGTGTCTGCTCTTCGGTGTGTGTCAACACAACTCCATATGTTCCAACTTGATTTTAAAACAAACTAGTTATTACACAACTTGTACGGTCAAATAGAATAACCACAAACTGCATTTTTTAGTTTTTCTTTTCAAAAGCCCAATTGTGTGTTTCATTGTGTATCAAACGAAACTTAGTAGGGGGCCACTGTTAACCACTTCCCTTATGCCTCCATGATCATTGTGCCTTCAACTACGAATACTTTGTGCAACAATATTATGTACTGATCAAGTTTGAAACCTGACCGATAAAGATGCGGTCAAAAATCCGTACCCTCTCGGCGATTCCAACCCTACACATAAAAAGTTGCATTAACGAAAATATAAGTAGACATGTTTGAAGGCAAGTGGGAAGCGAGCCGGGGGTTGGGGGACATTACGATTCATGTACGTTATGGCAGGACTGAACCTTCTGTACAGACCGTAGGTATATGTAGCAACATCAACAGCACAGAGAAACGGCATTGGGTCACTTGCACAAAGTGATCTTAGCGCTAAGACTCTCTTATTCCCTGTTGGAGTAGCATCGCTGAGATCGCTTTGTGACAGTTGGGCTGAGATACAGCATTGAGATACGGTTACCGCGGTTAAGCGCGTAGTATCAAGCTGTATATACAAGTTTCGTCGATTAGGTTGTTTGGTTTGTATTGAGATCGAGTGCATCTATATGTGCCTGCTAATGTCATCTGCAGTGCAATGTCTTCGAAGTGTTATCGAGAGATTCTACCACAAGCGCCGTGAACCTAGGACATACCTGTAGTTCAAGGTGCAATATTTACACAGCATTCCCAACCAGACAGACATGACACCGTGTTGTATTGGTGCAGGTCGGGACCGTGGCAACTCCCGTATCTCGACCTCAGGTGTGTAGCTAATTAGAAATGTAACATATCTGGTATTGGGTCGGATCTTGTTCAGTCTGATACATTAGTGTCACGTCAATAATTGTATTTCTTGTTGGTGTCAATTGCCACTGTAGCCTTGGTATACTGTAGACAATAATTAAATATTCGTGGAGTACATTGTATTCAGTGATGTCGAAAAAGGTGCCGCCATTTGTAATACATATGAACCATGGTTAGCTAAGTAACTACATGTGAAAACCCCACTCTTAGTCTGCACATTGATGATGTCTTAAATCACTAAAACGACAAACGGCTTAAGTTGAATATAATTTATTCAATAAAAAGTACAAAATCATAAGAAATTCGCGAAGAAATGAACCCGCAAGCCCGCCAAGCCATGTAACGCCACGTAACAATCTCAACTGACACCACCTTGGCTGCCCTCCTCTGGTCATTACAACACACGGTATTGACTCGTGGGATGGGTCAGCAGCTCACAGCTTGAACACTAATGGTCAGTCCATTGTCCAACACATGCTCTGCCCACAGGGTCACGGCAAACACGCTCACGGCTCGGGCAGCTATTATTAGCTCAAGCTGGCCGACGGGGAACGACCTTCACCTTTGGTTAACTGGCTGAACAGACATGGGGTCAGTGTGACCCAGCCGGCCAGATGCCGCTGACAGGAGCAATATTGTTCTTTCTGATATGCTCAAGCCCTATCTTCTCAAATAAATGTTTAAGATGTCCTAACATTACAACGTTAATACACTCGAGAGCTAGAACAGTGAAAGAACATAATTTTATGCACAAGTATATTGTTAATTTTTCAAATGGACATTTTGTTTCATCTGTTAGACTATTCACTTCAATAAATATCAGTGAAGATAGTTATAACTATTTTTATTTCCCACTAGAATTCCTAAAAAGATCAGTCAATTAATACTGTCTGACTACCGTGCAGAATGTACAGTAACCTGTGATGTAATATTGTGAAACCTGCAGGAATATAATTATATTGCGTGCTGAAAACTTGAAAAATTAAGCAAGTAAATAACTTCCAAAATATTCCAAGTAGTAAAATAGTTTTATAAAATTCATCGAATGTATCAATAATATTTAAAGCTTGATTATTAACGAAAAACGCCATCAATAACGCATTCCAGTTGCGTATGGGAACAGCTGCTCAACGTGACCTTGGATAATGAACAATGACTGGAGTCCCGGGCTGTGTTGTCACGTCGTGACGCAACGATAGACGTCACCGCGACTCGAACACACCATAATCAGTGATGGCGTAACATTGCACGACCACTCTATACGCGAACAAAGACCTCAGCACCGAGCACCAGAAGCGGCAACACACGTAATCTGCAGAAGGCCAACAAACTGAGAAACACGTTGTCTTTGTCCACGTAAACTATTCAGTGGTAGAAAGTCAATGCATATATATGCGCTCCCTATCTCTTGTTTTAGGCATAAGCAAAGCAGTCCGACACACACCCTTTACGACAGTACTAGTCGGCTGTTAATGTTGCTACGATACACTTTCCCTCTGTCGGCAGTCATGAAATACGCTGTAAATAGATTATGTATCACCACCTGCTACATTTGCTATTTTCAATGTGAGAAGTTATGAGGGGTTTATTCTAAAGAATTCAAATTTCATCAGTTTTGCCCTGGACTGACAGAAGAATGTTTTTAAAATAAAATAAAAAACACATGTCAATCACAGCCACACCTAGGGCGTTCATAAATGAAATATATCGTCGAAGGCGTTTTGTTAAGTTTGAAGTATAAACAAAACAACTATGGTTATGCAATAAATTATGTGATTCTGACGATTAGAAACTGAATATGCACCTCATTGGGGAGGGTCATCTGTATAATTGTTTGTTGTGGAGGAAAACTCTCCTGCGCACCATAACCATGACGAGAAACCGACAGCGGAATACATGGAATATTCAACAAGGAAATAACGCAACGTGACATTGACCAACTGCTGGAGCTCACCTTTCCGCCTGATGCTTCCCCCCGAGGTCGACCCGTCGGTAGAGCTGCTGTCGGTGTCCCCCGATGTATCCCGTGACAGAGACGGGGAATCCATGCTGACCCTCCCCCAAACAACGCCGTCCGCTCCGCTTGACCACCGTCCACTACACTCGCCCCTTTGGCCTTGTATGGCTTGCTCCAGGTTGCAACCGGGGGATATGCCTATGTCAGCGCCACTGCTGAAATATTAATATGAACGTCCTGAACATGAGTACACTCCACTCTCGCACCGTGGTCAGTTCGTCACGATGTCCACACTTCAACTGAAACTGACCATTGCGAGCTGGTATGACCACCGCTGTGATGTAACAATTAGGAGCTGAATACTAGGTTCGACCACTCAGAAAGAGGGGTGTCAAGATATCTTCTTCGTTTCCGTTACTATAATCCCTGCGGCATCATTGAATGTTTAAGAGCTAATATAAACATAAGTCACTGTGTGACTCCGATGTTGCACGAAAATTATTTATCACTTTCAGTGATCAATCGAAAACGCTATTGTACAGTACTGGAACCCCTTGGCTTAAATGAACCGATCCAGATCGCAACAATATGGCGGCCGTTTGTTAGTAAGGTCCACTTGGTGGGTCAAGACTATTTCACTCACAACAGGGAATATAAAAATTAATAGATTTATATTGCTACGAGGTGTCTTCTGAAGACAAAGATATTCGTGATGAAAGACACGTGCACATTAGCCCCGTACAAAACAAATTGAACATATGCACGTCTCAACATAAGTGATCATTTTTGACCCCTACAACTATCATGGTACAGTCCATTCCCAATGCAGAGTGGCACAAAAGTTAGTCATGTCTTGCAGAACCGATCATAGTCGCATGCCCTCTGAGGTCAGGGAGGCGTGGTCAAACTTGACCTACGTCAGAAAACAATTGCACCATGTTATACATGGCTTACGTAATGTCGCCACTATCGGAGACCAACGTCCGTTAGTACATGGACCACTGGAGACGGAAAAATGACTGACCCGGCGATGAAGCGTGACGGTCATAGCCCTGACCGAAGTGAGCCAATGCCACTAATTGGGTAATATGCGCAACGTTAGATCACTGCCTCCGGCCAGCACTGATTAACACCTTGAGCTGAGTGGTATTGACTTGGTGTTATTTCTTGCACCTGTAATTTGATGAACACTCAGATGACCCGTCTGAAAGTAATCACTATAGGTAGTTTACCTCTAGGTGATGTGTTCAGCAACATCATCGAACACATTTAAATCCTTAGACTATTTATTGACAGAACTAAACGAGAGCGGTAATCTGTCTGTACTCCCACAATTTCATGCACAATGTCATCACATCCCTGGACTCTTGTAACGAGAGAGCTTCAAGGGGGTAATGTTTAGTGTTTTCGTCTAACACTGTAAAAAGGCCAAGTATATTATCAACATAAATGTTAATCATAATTCACATGGGACCCGTGAAAATTCGGGGTAGAATAGGTATTCAGCAGACCATGCTTTCTGTAAAAGGCGACTCTGCTTGTCGTAAGAGACGACTAACGGGATCGGGTGGTCAGGCTCGCTGGCTTGGTTGATGCATGTCATCGTATCCTAATTTCGTTGATCCATGCTCATGATGTCAATCACTGGGTTGTCTGGTCCAGACTCGATTATTTACAGACCACCATCATACAGCTGGAATATTGCTGAGTGCGGCGTTAAAGAAAGAAAGAAACAAACAAACATAATTCAAATGGAATACGTGTAGTATACAATAATCTGTGTTTACTCTGTGAAAATATACGCTATCATAATACTTACATGTCACTTGATGAATTAATTAGCGCAGTTAGCCTGTTTCATCTCGACAAGAAAAACAACATGCTCCTCCGTGCTCGACACCACCCTGGCAATGAACATGACATGGGAATAGGTGAGAGGAAAGAGATGGGGACGACCTATGTGCACCCTGCACACACCGTTGCATGGGTTGCACGTGCGGATTGGCCTAAGTGACCCCAGGCATACCCTCGTGAGGTGGTTGTTCTTTTGACTTGAGGATGGCGTTCATGTTGTATCCGTGTCAAGGTCATTTTAAAACTTTTAACCTGCCACAAACTAGGCCACCCGACAGGTTTAAATTAAGCACAGACGTTGAAGCCATCTCTGTACATTGTTTATATCATTATGAAGTCGTATTCTAAAAGTTCATTCCGCACCAGACACGGACTTTATACACAAACATCTTCACACCATCGCTTCGCTTTCTGTGCCATGATATGGTATGGACATATTATATGCCAGGCCATACACATACAGAACTCAATTACTGAAGTATATTCCGTCACATGCTAGTGCCAGCAGCAGATGGACAGACTCCGAATTCCGAGCCACCGCGGTAACAAAATGCTATTAAAGTGAGTGCGGTTACAACATCGTACAATATAACCACCCAATCACTCCCTGTTACTTGGTTCTCAATTCCGACAATCACATAGATGGGGTTTGGGGGATCTATCATGACCCTGATTTTACTGGTATAGTATATATTTTATGATGTAAATTGTTGACATATACTTCAGACCCTTGACGCTCTACACACTTACACGTCACAGGGGACTGCGCTTGTCGTAAGAGGCGACTAACGGGATCGGGTGGTCAGACTCGCTGACTTGGTTGATGCATGTCATCATATCCCAATTGCGTGAATCGATGCTCATGATGTCAATCGCGGGACTGTCTTGTCCAGACTCGATTATTTACAGACCGCCGTCATATAGCTGGAATATTGCTGAGTGCGGCGTAAAACAACAACAAACAAACATTGGGCAATTGACTCGGTGAGCTCGTCCGTTTGAGATTTCAGAACAGATATATAAGTCTGAATTTCGCAGGACACATCGAGGACGAATTCAACAAATAAAACTTTTTTTTATAAACACAAAGCATCTTGCGGAAACAAAAAAGCATTATAATAACTAATACTGTAGTCCTCTCCATCACTGTAATGATGTGACTCGCTTTCTTGAGAGGGTACCGAATTCCTAAGGACGGGTGTGTACATGGATGCCCATCCGATCATCTGAAGGTTTCAAATATTCTCATGAAAACTGTATTAAAACTTTTATTATTTGTTGCTAGGTGACAGTGCCATCGTTATAATTGAACAAAACAAATTAGAGAAATTCTTGTAAATATGATTATCAACTGCCCTTATTCTAAGTTGAAATAGAATACAATAATGTTTACTTGTTTATGCAATCGTATGATGATATTTAAGTCATCGTTGTGGCTTGAAGGTATAGTGCTGCGCACTGTATAACGGCAAATGAGAGTGTGTATGTTGCGCCTACATTCATTGTCACAACGTAACTATTTAAGGCATTGAATCTACTCACACATACACACATAAAGATTATTGCAAGTGCAAAATGTGTGCAAAGCCTATAAACTGTTCTTATTTTATTGCTTGTATTGATCAACAATTCTTTATTATTGACATATATAACGTCAACGCAGAGGAATAAAGGGTAAAATAGCTGTAAAATTATATGAATGGACCACTGAAAATCAGTCATGACACCAGGTGTTTGCGAAAAGGGTAAGCAAGTCCTGCCCTGCCGGTAGTAATGACATAATGTGTTTTAACAAATATATGAGCCTATATTAAACGTTATCAGTGTTTAGTGAGTAGTGTCTTCTTGTATTCTATACAGTGTCTGAAAACAGACACCCGGCGAGTAGGTACAGAACTCATCCCTGGAATACGATGGAGCATACATTTTGGAAAATGTGTATCCACCTATGCAGCAGACAGACCCCACACTGCCAGAAACTTCACATTTTTAAAAGTAATCCCATATATGATATACAACGGACAAATGTATCAGAGAAGGTAATTTTTAATCATTTTAATCCAAAGAAGGATTTTAATTAAGGGTGGTAACCATAATTTGTTCCAAGCACCTACGGTAATCGGTAATAACATCAACAGTTTAAATTATAAGTCCCAAGCACGAGAATCTGATGGCACACAAGTTCAGTAGCGTGTATGGGCCACCATGTGCGTTGACAACTGCCACACAAAGCCTCCGCATGGACCTTGTGATGCTTGTGAACACATGATTGGGAAGACGACGCCATTGTTGCTGCAAAATGGTGCCAAGATCTTGCAAATTCTGTGGTTGGTTCTGGAGAGTGCGCAGACTTCTGCCAAGAGCATCCCAGACGTGTTCGATGGGATTGAGGTCGGGAGACCTTGACGGCCAGTTCATGACGTTGACTCCCGCATTCTGAAGGAAATTCCTTGTCAAAATTGCTGTGTGGGGTCTGGCATTGTCGTGTTGGAAGATCAAACTGGGTCCATGTGCTGCCATAAAAGGCAGAAGTTCTGGTGCCAGTACCTGGTCGCGGTAAGCAGCAACGTTGAGGTTGCCACGGATGACAAGAAGCCTGGAACGTGCATTGCCACAGAAAGAATCCCCACACCATGACACTTCCGCCTCGAAATCTGTCAACTTCCTGTACACAACACTGGGCGTAACGTTCATGACGGCGCCTCCACACCCTCGCCCTACCATAAGCAAATCGAAGATTAAATCGGGACTCATCACTGAAGACGACTTGATTCCAATTCCTCTGAGTCCATCGTAAGTGTCGCTGTGCCCACAATTGACGTTGACGTCTGTGTAATTGAGTCAGAATCGGCCCGCAGTATGGCCGTCGTGCTTGAAGGTGAGCAGTTCTCAGACGGTTTCGAACAGTTTGCGCACTCAGTCTACCCCTAAACAGTTCATTTCTGGTTGATGTAGCCGTCAAAAATCGGTTACGGAGGTGACGTTAGACAATCTGACGATCCTCTGCATGTGACGTCACACGTGGTTGACATGGCCGAGGGCGATCAGCGGTGGTACCCGTTTGCTGAAGACGCGTCTGTAAATCATAAACAGTCCGTCGACTACAACCCATCGTCCTTGCGACTTCAGCTACGGACGTTCCCGTCTGCAACATGTCGATGGCACGTTCACGTTGCACATTTGAAAGACGTGGCATGACAAATGGCCGTAAAGACTTTTGTTTTCTTGTGTTTTTCTTTTTTTGTTAATGACTGCTAACAAGTATGGCTGAAAACACGTGCGGTATTATGGCCACGTGACCAGTTGCACGTGAAAAACCACTTTTGCCACTAAAGTGCTGTGCACATGATTTTGATCGATTCACCTGCACAAAAACGGGTGTTATCTGACAATACGTGGCCATAACTGTTTAAATACACAATAAGGGCCCA